ACTTAGCACAATACTCTCTAGGTCCATCCATGCTGTCACACAAGGTAAGATTTCCCTCTTTTTTTACAGCCTAGTGGTATTCCATTGTGCAAATGTACCACAGCTTTTCTATCCACTCACGTATTGATGGACACTTGGGCTATTTCCAAAAATTGTCTATTTATATGTAAAAAAAAGGCTAAGTGACTGACCATACATCTGTCCAACCATCCGACCGACCAGCTGGCCGGTACATATGATGCGCACTGGCAATCTATGTATATAAAAGGCTAAGTGACCGACTGTACCGTCTGACCGTCTGACCGAATGGCTGGTACATATGACATGCACTGGCAATTTAAAAATAAACGTTGACTCCCACAGGTACGATACATATAAAGATCCCACTGGCACATGTAAAAGGCTAAGTGACCAACCGTATGTACGTCCGACCATTCATCTGACCATCTGACCATCTGACCAGTCGGCCGGCCAGTACATATGACACGCACTGGCAATTTAAAAATAAACGTTCATTCGAGCATGCACAATACATATAAAGCTCTCGCTGGCGCCGATCGCACGCATGTGTTTCGATCTGTCATTGTTGAGTGTGAATTTGGTTGTTTTTGTTGACATTCTGAAGCTGAAAGAAAGCAGCAATTTTCACACCTATTTGAGTGATGATTCCATCGATTCAACAGTTGATGCTGAAAAGGGAAATTTTCCCATTGAGTTTCTTAAGAGTATTACTCCTTTGGGAATGCTATGTCATAAATTAAAATTGAAAGGGTGCAATCATCATGCTACTGAGAAATCTTAATAGTAAATGGGGTGTTTGCCATGGTACTAGATTTATTATCACAAGATTGCGACCTAACATAATCGAAGCTGAAGTATTAACAGGATCTGCGGAAGGAGAGGTTGTTCTGATTCCAGGAATTATTTATTATTATTATTTATGTATTAATAAATTTATGTATTATTTTCATATACATTTTACTAATTTTCTTTCATCTCTGACACTTCTATTAGAGAGAAAGGGTGAATAGCAATGTTAAAATATTTCTTCTAATTAATTTCCTTTCAATGTGCATGAATCCATGCACCTGGCCACTAGTTGTAAATAGCACCTCAATGAACATAGGGGACATATGTTCTTTTGAATTAGTGTTTGGGGCTTCTTTGGATAGATTCCCAGAAGTAGTGGTATCTTATTGTAGTTTTAGTTTGCTTTCTTCAGATAATCTTTTCAAGTGATTTTTGGTCATTTCCTCTTCTAACAGGTGCCTGTTCAAGTCTTTTTCCCTTTTTAAATGTGGATTGTTTTGTCTTTTACTTATTGACTTGTAGGAGTTCCTTTATGTCCTGGATATAAGTCCATTGTCAGATATATGAAATGCAAATATCTTCTCCCAGTCTGTAGACTGCTTCTTCATTTGCTTAGTAATGTCTTTTGAGGAGCCTAAGTTCTTATATTTAAGAAAGTCCAAATCATCAATTCTTTCAGTGTAGTGTTTTTTGCACTCAATTTGAGATATTGATCATGAAGATACTTTTCTATGTTTTTTAGTAGACAGATTCTTTTTAACTTTTGCATCAGGTCTATAATTCATATTACATTAATTTTTATTAATGTAATATGAAGTAAAAATTCATCTTTCCCCATACAGATTATCCTCTGTATGGATATCCAGTTTCTCCAGCACACCTTAATTGCAGTAGCACCCTTTTTGTAAATCAAATGAACATACATGTTTGGGTCAATTTCTGGACTCTATTCTGTTCCATTGGTCTTTGTCTAGCTTTGTGTCAATACTACTTTGGCTTAGTTATTATAGCTTTACATTAAACACTGGTATCTGGTAGTTTGTGTTCTTCTCCAAGACTGTCTAGGCTGCTCTAAGATTTTGTATTTCCATGTAAATTTTAGAATTAGCTAGATAATTCCCACACATAAACCTTGTAAGAATTTGATTGCAATTGCATTAAATCTATAAGTCAATTTGAGGAGGATTGACAACAATACTGAGTCTTTCAATTCATAGTTTAGTTCTCCATTTATTTAGGTCTTCTTCTTGATGACTTTGTTGAATATCTGATTTAATTTAATCAACCCCGGAGTTGCCTGACCGTGGTCTTGATATTAAATTACAACATTACATACAATCATTATGTAATACATTTTCCTTACTGCTTAAACAATTTTTTTTTCTGGTTACTTGCAGCCAAAAGCATCTGAACTGACAAACTTTCCTTGTAGTGTGATGGAGTAAGCAGAAGGCTTGAATCTATGCTACTCCCTGTGTGGCCATGGGTAAGTCACCTAACCTCTTTGGGCCTATTTCCTTATCTATGGAAACCTCACAGGGTTAGAAACTTGTTCTCTTTTTCACAAACAGGGGGAACGCTGACTCATCTTTCTTTTCTTTTTTTAAAAATTGTTTTATTGCTTAAAGTATTACAAAGAGTATTACATATTGACTCATCTTTCTTGTCCAATTTAAGTTTCACTTTCTTTGGGAAGGCTTTCCTGACTCTTTCAAAAAAACCTAGCGCCCGGCCGGCATGGCTCAATTGAGCGTTGACCTATGAATCAGGAGGCCACAGTCAGGGCACATGCCTCGGTTGTGGGCTCAATCCCTAATGTGGGTGTGCAGGAGGCAGCTGATCAATGATTCTCTCTCCTCATTGATGTTTCTAGTTCTCTCTTCCTCTCCCTTCCTCTCTGAAGTCAATAAAAAACTATATATTTTTATAAAACACACACACAAAACCTAACTATTCTTTTCCTATGCATGCCTCTTAAAGCAATCAGCACACTGTAATGTCATTGTTTGCATGTCTGTCTCCATCAGTGCCTTCCTGGATCATTCAGGGACTTGGTAGGGAACAGAGGGCACACTTAAAGGGCTTAATTAAAGAAAGTGTAACGAAGAGACAATAACAGAGGAATAGACAGGATTAAGGGAACCCATCGGGGATGATGAGGCACCCCAGGGAATAACCACAGAGGCATTGATACCACTCTTGAGTCTGAAGGATAGAGATGAAGGAAGTGTTATTGGAACCCAGGGAGACCCATGGGCAGGTGGGGAAGGGAGAATAAACACCCCACCCTCTCTCTTCTCACTCTCTGATTTCCTTCAGCTCTCATTGGATCAACCCAACCAGAAGTCAGAGGGCCAAGGAGTCCAGGTGATACAGTTTGTAGAGTTCAGCTTCCAGGGGAACAAAGTAGAGCAGCAAGAAGCAGAAATGAATAAAGGAGAAGAAATAGGTAATGGACAGCATAATACCTTCAGCATAAGCTTCTTCAGAATGGATGCTAAATCTTTAAAAAATAATGTTGCCATAGTGTTTTAAACATTCGTTACAAACATGCAAACATCATAGAAAATAAAAGGCCCCTATTAGCCCCAGAAATACCCATAGCTAACTACCTGTTCTGAAATATTTCCGATTTTACCGTATATACAAGCACGTTGAATATGGGTCTGTGGAAGACTGCAATTCCCAAAATGACCACAGCAATATTTCTGGTCTCCCACGGTCTTCTTGACATTGCCACGCCCCATCACAAGGTGCATCTATTTTTCCTCCCCTTGAACCTGGGGAGGGCTTTGTGATTGCTTGGACAGGGAGAATGTGGCAAAGTGATGCTGCATGACTTCAAAACTCGGTCATAAAAGGCAATATGGCTCTTTCCAGAAATCTCTCTTTCTTGGGATGCTCACGTTATGAGGAAACCCGGGTCACGTGAAGAGGCCGCGTGCAAGGGCTCCGGCTGGTTGCCCCGCTGAGGTCCCAGCTGACAGTGTTAACTGCCAGGTAAGCGAAAAAACGAGCTTCCAGATGATTCCAGCTTCCAGCATCCGAGTGACCTCCGCTGGAGCAGACAATTACTAGTATCCTCACGAAGCCCTGCCTGAATCGAAGATTCATGAGCAAAATAACTGTTTTTATTTTATTAAAGCCACTGGGATTTTGAAAAACTTGTTATATAGCCATAATAAGTAGAACAGAGGCAGTATTGGGGAGTTAAACCCTCAAGCTCTGGCGTCAGACTTCTTGGGATTGAATGTAGTCTCTCTCTTATTCCCTGTGTAATATTTGGCAAGTTGTTCACATTCTAATCCTCAGTTTCTTCATCTGTAAAATGGGAACAATGATATTAAAACTCTCAGAGGGAAAAGAAACCTCTCAGAGAGTAGGATCGGGGTATAAAGCAATCAGCTCAGTGCCCAGCAGGTATTAAATGATTATTGTTATTGATCATTGATTTCCTAAAATAGAGGTGGGGAAACTTTTTTTTTTTTTTGCCAAGGGCCATTTGGATATTGATAACATAATTTGAGGGCCATACAGAATTATCAACCTAAAAATTAGCCTGCTATATTTGGTCATTCATTTAACTCACCCCTAATAATGCTTTGGCAGGGCCAGACCACATGATTTCACAGGCCTTATACTGCCCAGGGGCCAGATGTTCCCGACCCCTGCCCCCAAAAGCAAGCAGGAAACATACCGATTGAGCAGAGCTAAGCTTATTTCAGAAAGGGAGAACCGCACCCGGCAAAGTCTGAGTAGTATCTCCAAGTGAAGACACTTCATTAAGAAAGGATATGGGGTTTTAAAGGCTGCACTGTTCTAAGGTGGGTCATCTACGGCAGGTAACTGGTTGGGATTGGGCAGAACTTATGACATAAGAGCTTTGGATTGGTGGGTCCAGAAGGGCAAGGGCCTTGAAGTGAGTCTAGATGAGCAAGTTTTCTGTTTTAATAAGTAAAGTGTGTCACTGGTTCCATCTTATCTTAACAGCAGGCATTTCCCAGAGCAAGCAGGTAAATTATTACTTGGCGCCAGTATTATTTAATGCAGACAGAAGAGTGTGTTGCTTTCAATTTTTTTTTTCCATAGAAAAGGGATCAGACTCTATCCCACCTATTATATTGAAACTTGCCTTTTTATTTAACAACATATCTTGGGTATCTTTCCTTATCAGAACTTATCAATTCATTTTACTTTTTTGACATCTGCTTGATATTCCTTGTGTCGTGATTTGTTCACCCTCTCACATACCAGCGCGTGGGGTGCATGTAGTGGGCTGGCGGGCCCAGGCCCTGAGCACAGTGCCTGGTCCGGAGGAGGCACTCGGGAAGGGTTTGTTATTAAAAGGAGAGTGCGCCTGGAATCTGTAAAATGTGGTATCCTTGTAAGGTATGGTGGATGCTTGGGCTCCCCCATTACGGCATCTTATCCCATCCCCGTTTTGTCACCTGTGTTATGATGCATCTCAGACTGGGAAGGATCCAGAAGTCCCTATGTGCACCCAGCAAGGAATCGGGGAGACTGCTGGGATGTATGCGAGACAGTGAGCCTGCGGAGCAGTAGGTACCCACCTGAACAGGCTGGATGGAGGATGCAGCTGAGATTCCGAGGGGCTTGGGTGCCAGGAGAGAGGTGTTGGCACTGAGTCAGTGCCGGCGAGACTTTAGAAACTCATGCCATATAGACACCACTGACCAGGCAGGGCAAGGGACACCTTGTGACACCAGCAAGGACCCAAAGTAGGACGGCCACCTCTTCCCACTGCCACGAGGACATTCCCCTACATCCAGGGATCATCTTCTGAAGGAGGATGCCAAGGAGCAAACATTAAAAAAAAGCAGTCCCTGTAGGGGTTTTAAATTGATAATCAGACACAACATTTATGAAAATAAAGCTGATACAAAATGAAGATGTCGTTTCTCAATGAAGGATAAGAGTCTAATAGGGGGCATTTGGAAATAATGGGGCATTTCCTCCCACTTTTTTATTATGAAAATTTTCAAACAGAAAAGTAAGAAGAATAATTGAACACATATATCCACCACCTAGATCTCTCAGTTGTTAATGTTTTCTCCTTTGAGCATAATTGTTTCATCTATTTTTTTCGAAGTAGTTTAAAGTAAATTACAGACATCCTGACATTTCACCCCAAATGCATCTCTGAAAAATAAGAGCTTTTTCCTGCATAATGTGGAGGCGTTCCTGGTTGACCCTGGGAGTGCTGCTGGCACTTACGTGGGCGCGGGGCAGGGAAGCTAAATGTCCTGTAATGAGTGCTTTACGTCAGCTCCAGGGAGAATTGTCTGGGCCAACCCTTGACAGCATCACCTTGTAGAAAGCCTGTGCTGTAGAGACGGACGTGGGAGTATGTGTGGGGGTGGGTGGGAAGGATGCTATCATACACTTATTCATTATACATGGAGGTCTTTATTATAGAGGTCACACAGAAACCGATCAGATTTAAAAAAGTGATAAAGATGCAGTAGGAAAAAAACACCTATAATCCCATCCTTTAGGGTCAACCACTGTTAACTGTTAAAATAATTTTGGCATATTTCCTTCTAGTCTCGAATATATATATTCCCATTTTAGATAGGCATACGCTACATTGGTTATTTAAAGCCTCCTGACTCCTGCCCATTCCCACAACTTTGTAGGGTGTGGAACTGGGGAAAAAGATCTGTTTCTGAAATGAAGAAGATGCCACATTGAAAAAAGGGAACCTGCCCTGGCCAGTGTGGCTCAATTGGTTGGGTGCCGTCCCATGCACCAAAAGGTTACCAGTTCAATTCCTGGTCAAGGCACATGCCCAGGATGTGGGCTCAATCCCTGGTAGGGGGCATGCAGGAGGCAGCAGGTCAATATTTTTCTTTCCATATGAAAACATGCTCAAGGTTACTGATCATCCAAGAGTTGCAAATCAAAATGACAATGAGGTACCATCTCACACCTGTCAGAATGGCTATCATCAACAAATCAACAAAGTGCTGGCAAGGATGCAGAGAAAAAGGAACCCTCGTGCACTGCTGGTAGGAATGCAGACTGGTGCAGCCACTGTGGAGGACAGTATGGAATTTCCTCAAAAAACTAAAAATGGAACTCCCATTTGACCCAGTGATCCCACTTCTAGGAATATATCCCAAGAAATCAGAAACAACAATCCGAAATTATTGTTATATGCACCCCTATGTTCATAGCAGCACAATTTACAATAGCTAAGATTTGGAAACAGCCTAAGTGCCCATCAGTAGATGGGTGGATTAAAAACTGTGGTACATCTACACAATTGAATAGTACGCTGCTGTAAAAAAGAAGAAATTCTTACCATTTGCAACAGCAAATGGAACTGGGGAACATTATGCTAAGCTAAATAAGCCAGTCAGAGAAAGCTAAATATCACATGATCTGACTCATTTGTGGAATATAATGAACAAAAATAGAGCCAGAGAAAAATATTTTCACATCCTGAGCATGTGCCCTGACCAGAATATAATAGAAGTATAATCCTGTTATTTGCAGATTTTTAATATCTCCTACAACTTTTGTGATATTATACTATGTTAGTAGAGTTTAGGTAATATTATTATATTTAAAATATTTTTCTTGAAATATTAATGTTTATTGCATGTAATATTATATTTAAAATCATTTTCTTGAAATATTAATGTTTATTGCATGTAATGTTATATTTAAAATCATTTTTCTTGAAATATTAATGTTTATTGCATGTAAATGACTAATTATGTTGTATCTACAATCTGACAATAGACTTTTTAGTATATTGTAAAAAAAATAAAATAAAGAGAAAAATAATTTCTCTCTCTCCCTCCCCCTTCCTCTCTCTAAAAATAAATAAAAATGTTTTTTTAAAGGGAACCTGATTGCTCGTTAATTTGCTTCCACCGCACTTAGGTGTGACCTCAGTTAATCCTCAGAATGACTTCATGATGTAGGGCTTACCGTGCCCATTCTCCAGATGAGATGCCTAAGGCTGAGGAAACAGGCAGGCTGCCCACCAGGTCCCACAGCCTGTGTGCTTCACCATCTGACTTACGGCCCCTGGATACAGCTCTGGGCTCCCTGCCCAGCCGAAGGTGGGAGCTGGGGATGTGGAGTAGGCACTTGACCCAGACAATAAGGAGGATGTGTCCAGTTTGGAGGGGTTCCTCTTTCCCGCTTTGAAGATCTACTTCTCGGTGGGGGCATAGAGATAGTGGAGGCCACTGGCCTCGAGCCCCAGCTGAACTCTTGGCCGTTAGCTCGCACCAACTTGCTACCCATGGGAGTGAGCCTTCTTGGAAGTGAATCCTCCAGCCCCGTTCTAACCTCCCACGCTGATGCTGCACAGAACGGAGATGAGCAAACCCTGCTAAGCCCTAAATTGCAGATTTGTGAGCAAAGTAATGGATTGTTGTTATTTAACGCCACTGCGTTTTGGAATGGTTTGTTATTCAGAATTAGATAGCCAGAATAACACCATTTTCCCAGCTGATCCTCTAAGCCAAATTAAATGTGACACCTTTCATACATACTGTCTCCTTTAATTCTCATCCTCCCCTCTCAGGTAAGAAAATCAACAGCTAACGTTTACTGAGCGCTTGCGATATGCTTAGCGACGTTCAAAATCCGTTCCCTATGCCAGTT